GTCGTTAGAATATTACTGAGCCTTCTTAGCTTATGTGGGGATCAGGAAAATTTTATCTTGACACCAACAAATTCCTCCCCCGCTGGCGATAAATCATGATCGATGTTCAATATCAGTGAGTCCCACAACGCTTTTTCTTAACCAATATCTTTGCGCAGTAGAAGACTAAATTGATCGGTACGACTAACTTAGATTTTGCCCGTCTTTACAAGATGCATTTTCTTTGATGTTTTGTCACAACTTCTGATAGAGACAAAACGAGGAAGATTGCATGCTTCGTGAGAGAAACAAAGCCGCAAACGCGGCACAGAGCTGCGTTGAAAACAAATACAACTGCAAATAGTTGCAAACAGTTCTATGCCATAATTTGTTCTGCCAGCAGTATTACATAACCTGTAACTTCCAATCAGTTGTACTGAGATTAAAATGCCGGGTTGTGTTATTTGTGCGATCATTTGCGAATTTTATCGCCGGTTTTACTTTATCAGTACCTGATTATTGCTTGACAGCCAATACGTCCTCACTGAAGACTGATGTGAACTCGTTGAACGCCTGCCTTGATAACCGCTGTTTAAATAATGACCATTAGACTATCAGATCATTGTTTCAGTATTGACTCGCTTGTGAAACATGCAAACCAGAGGATATCAAAAGCCATTAGCAGACCAAAGGTCACTATTTAATGGATATCTAAAATTTTCCTTCCCCACTTAAATTTCCTCTGTGACATTGGTCTCTTAAATAAACTACTGTATCAGGTAACAAATCCTCACTTTGGCAAGCCGCTAGAAACCGTAGGAAAGTATGAAGCAATTTGTCTGCTTCTGGCCCGGTTTGTCAGACAAAATCCAAATCTTTAGAAACATGTCTACAGGAAGTCTAGGAGATATTTTGAATAGTTTGAAGATAGAAAATAGACTTATTCCTTCTAATTTTCTTGTCAAAGAGCCATGACTCAATATAGGTTAGTTACTGCGCATGTCGTTGTTCCCTATAATGCTTTGAGTTTCTCTGCTTTATCCCTTACAAATTAATTTTTTTATGTTCACCAAAATTTTGCTAAGTTTCCGGCTCCGCTCTAAGAAGTTCTCGCCTTACCGCCATTTATCCCCTAAATCTACTCATAGAAAGAAGATTTTCCTTCCTCAGAGCTCCCGTCTTTTAAATCTAGACCATGGTCTTTGTGGCATCAAAAGGCCCTTAGCTACACAAGATATAAGACAACCAGCGACAGTTGTCCGAGAAGGGTCAGGTTGCAAAAAAGCCGGAAATGTTCTTCTAAGCTTAGGTAGAAACCAGTGTTTCCCCGCTCTCTAAAAAAAATTCGTAAGCTTTAAACAGCTCTCTCGCGTTACAAAGTGTTCCTTGTATCCTGATGAAAAAGCCCTCTTTCCACTGTCGCTAAAAGCTACTCAATAGGTAACTTGTGAAAGAATTAAAAACATTATACGAGAAGCTTGTTTTAAACCCCAGACTTAAATTCCTTTAAGACAAATTTAAGACATTACTCGAGAATTACTATGAGTGGGCAGGAGAGGGTTTAAGTTTTATGCGACCTAAACCGGAATTCACCGGATAATGTCTCTTGAACTTAATACCACAGAGTCGGAAGAGAAAGGGAACACTTTACATAGGAAATATAGACGACAAAAGAATGGTAAAGAAGTAGTTCTCCTAATAATTGATTAAAAATCGGCGATAAAAACTCCTAGGGCATAAAAAATGCGATAGTAACCTCGGCTCCAGGACGTTTTTCATTTTAAATGAATGGAGTTAAAGGCACCTTAGAAGCTAGATCGATGAGGTGAAGATTGCGGGGTACGCTGGTAAGGATGAGATTACGCTGGGAGGAAAAAAAATAAAGATCAAGTTTTTGCTGGAAGATCAGAAAAAAAAAGTTTAGTTGAAAGGTCAAGAGTGCATTTTACCGCAGCATACCGCAAAGGTTTTTTTTAAAGATATCTGAACGTGATTTAAAAAAAAGAAAAATTTTAAAACAATTTAAGTAATTGTTTTTCCAGTCAGAGTTCATTGAGAAAATCATCAATAAAAAATTAAGAGACAGGGCATTTTCAAGAAATCTAGAAGAACATGTTAATTTTTTTCTCGACATCTTAAAGCTAAGAATGGAATGTAGATTTGTGCAAGGTGTTCCAAATATCAACAAAACCAAGTTCGGAACATGATGGCATTTTCGGATTGCTCCGGATTCATCTAACTTTTCGAATCACAAAAATTGGCGTGCGGCAGATAGGGTGATCCCGCGCACAAATAAGCCCATGCAATCGAACTGGAATAAAATTCCATTCATTGGTAATAAAATTACTGTTCATAACAGTTTCCCTTGTCAGCGCAGCTGCAAAAGCTAGCTTTTCACGTGCTTTATCTTGGATAATTTATTAAGCCCAAGCTTCGTTAGAAAGTCCGGGTTATTTATGGAATTCGATAAAGTTTATCTAATTCCATCTACTCCAAAAATATATCGTTGCTTGTCATTATTTTTTGAATAATTAATTGACGATTTTTGTAATCGAAAGGATGTTTAAATAGAAGTTGCCCACACTCACGTATGGATTGTGCCAGTCGATTTGTTTCTCGGTTAATTCTTTCTTTCGTGAACTGATTAACTCGCGGAGCCCTTTTGTCAACCTGGCCCTGTCTCATCTACAAGCTGCTGCCTCACACACGTAAGTAATTAAATAGTTTTTGTTTTTTAAATCGACAAACCACACGCAAACTCACATTTCTAGTACAACAAAGACAAATTCACATAGTGCATTGTTTTCACCTGTACCAATACGCTGCTAAGAAGTGTAATTTAGGTGGAATTTCCATGCTTAGTAGCATTGATTAAGTTGGGAATTTCAGGTTTCACAATATAAAACATGCATAGTAACTGTACGAAATGGCAAAACTCGCAAAAACACAATCTTTGGAAAAACAAATCATTATCATTTCTACTGTAGCTTGTAATGACAACATTTTCGGTTGTTTGGCTCATGCCCATAGCCATGTACATAATAATTCTCTCAGAATAGCGGGAAAGATACGCGGTGTGATAAAAATATTTTCGAAGCTGCACTTTTCGGATTTCGAAGGAGCCTTCTTTGTCGACCATTCTCAGGAGTTGAACCCAAACAATCGTTGCTCATACAAGGAACTGCTTTTTTTAAAATCATTCTATCACCCTAATTTTATGAAAAATATTTCTTTAGCTTTTTTTCGAGAGAGAGATTTCAGTCCTGATTTGAACTCTCGCAATCCGACATACATGTTCACTTTCTGTCTTCATTTTATCCGCATATAATTCTATTGGAAGATGGTCGAAGGCAGCCTGAATACATACGTGATAAGAAAATTAACGTTCCATTTTTCCGTGGTACTTTCGCAATAGAATATGGAAAACCAAACGTGACTCTGAAATAAAAGAAAGTTCATCTTCCGCATTGATTTCGCGGAAAAAGAAAACAACGTGACTTAAAATAACAAATCACCCTCTGTATTAAAACTATTTTGCAATTTATAAGAAATAAATTTCACGATAACGTCAGTTTAGAGATTTAATTTTTCCCCAACAGTTGTCGTTTACAACCTCTTCATGCTCAGAGGGGCGTCTTGAAATAACAGACGTGAGATAGTAAAAAATCCTCCTGCAATGGCATTAATTTATGCACGTAGGCGTCAGCGATACCGCGTTTTGCGGTCATACTTCCAAACTTAATTGCAACGTGTTCGGTAGATTATGACGTATGATAACATCACGTAGTCACAATCGCGCGATAGATTGGTCACCAAAGGACCTGGAGATAGCTTGCCAAATCTTTATTTTGATCATTGATAGGAAATAACCAAAAAAAAAAAAAATTCTTATTCAACCGATAGCTACTGTCGGCTTCGCCAGACTCATCCACTTATTCTGTTTTGAACTGATTAACGTCCAAATCGAGTCCCAATCGGCTAAACTCTAAAAAAATCATTCAATTTAAAATGAATTATTGCGAAATACAAATAATTTTTTCGAATGCATAATCAAAAGGCATTGAAATATACATATCATACTGTACATATTCTTAGCTCTAAGACTTCGCAAAAAGTTGTCGAATCGCTTTTTTTTCTC